TTTATAGTGCTTCTAATTTAACTGTTTATTTCTTGTATATTTATCTGTATATGATTGTATATTTATCTGTATATGATTTAACATTTCATTTCTCGTTATATATCTAATTATCTTTATGATTTAACATTTCATTTCTTGTTATATATTAATTACCTTTATAAATAAATATATTATATTATCAAGAATTTGGTTTTATCTCTCTAGAGAACCCTATCTAACACAGCAAGTGAGCTAGAAACTTCTCTACACATGTAACCAAGTTCCCTACTGTGTGACTTCCCAGAATCTTAACATGCAAATGGACATTTTAAATGTCTAAGAGGGAGAAGTCAACAGTAGTCTTCAGATATATTTTCACTCGAAACGGTGTGTGTTTGTACACATGTGATATGAGGGGGCTTAAAAAAGCTCATGGAAAAATGGACTTAAAAGAGAATGGACTTTTTGCCCACAAAATTTCTGAAACTATAGAATTGATTCTGACCCTTGGTGACCCTGACTCCAAGTGTAAAGAGATGAACTGCTCTTCGAGGCAGTGACCTTTGGAAGCAGATCTCCTGGATTTTGTCCAAGGTCATTTCCTTGAACATCACACAGGACTCAATGTGTGTGATCTTAGGGCTGTCCAGAACACAGCTTGGAAAACATTCAGCTCAAGAGACGTAGGGTCTAAGCACCTTAAACTCAAAGAAAATAGGAATGTTTGCTGTGTTCATTTGATTGTATCTTGGGACCCAGCTCCCAAGGAAGGGAATTTAGTCGGCATCGCTTGTGTTTATATAATTGTTTCTAAGAAAGCTGGTCTCCGATTAGCTAATATGTTCTGTTAGCCTCACATCTGTGGTGGGAATCAAAACTCCTCTCGGTTTCATGGTCATTGCTTAAGAAAGGAAATGAAACCTGGAATGTGAAGGGAATAATAATAATAAAAAGTTTGAGTATGTTTCTGAGAAGATAACTCATTAGCTCAGTTTACCTTTTCAATACTAACTAGTCATTTAAAATGGCCCTGTTAAATTACAGACAATTATATATGCAGCATGGAAAATGATTAGAAGAAACATGAAAACAATGAAAACAGATCATTTATTAATAATGTCGTAGAATTTCTGGGTAATTCCTGACCTCCGCTATCTCAACTTTTTGATCTGCTTAAAATAACTTAAACAAGAGAAAAATCACTGAAAAAGTGACCAACACATTTTAAGGTCTATGGTTGGTTGAGGCCCTACAAAACAAGTGGTACCCAAATATTGCTTGCAGTGGGGAAAGTGGCTAAGAGCCATTGTTTGGGTGTGAGATGGGGTTAGAATCCCAACTCTGATATTTTAGATGTGTGTGACCTTGAACAAGTTACAGAATCTGTGCTCCTGTTTCTCTGTCTGAAGGTTGGAAGAACACGCACGTGACAGCACTCAGCGAAATGAATGTAGGACATTGGCATGGGGAATAGAAAGGGCCCACTCAGGGACTGCTGGTAGTTAGTTTGCAGCTACTTTAAGATACAGGCATTTATCTGTCCCTCCTCCCTTTTCCTTTGAAAGGACCAACAAAGGGATGCTTTTACAAGCAGTCTCTTTTGCAACATTTTTCTTGGTAATA